CAGGCGGTCGGTAAATCTTCCCCACGGACGCAAAGGGTTCAGGTGAGGGGGGAATTTGCGGGGATTACTCGCTCTCCCACCGTCATCCCAGACAGTCTGATGTGGCTGCTGACGCGGCAGCAATTAGAGGAGATCAACAACCTGCATGCAGGAGTCGTCACTGAGCCTATTTGGAGCAGGCAGATCACTGCCCTTCTGACTGGGGATCCCTGACACCAAAACATCAAGGGCTCTAGCTCAGCAAGGCAAAAGGGGAGTTAAGTCAACACATGAGACAACAGGCCAGGACTTTCCTGCCCTGACAGTGTAGAAAGCTGCAATAAAATATTCCTCCCTGTGCCACTGGGCTTCCTCAGTGTGGTTGGAGTTGAGGTGCAGCCCTGGAGGTCGGAGGAGATCCGAACTGCCTTGCTGTGTGTGGAGCTGTGTCGGGAGAGAGATGCACTGCCCTCAAACAGCCCGGCACCGGTGCAGATTTGGCAAGAGACCGTGGTGACAGCAAGACTCCTTTCAGCCAAAGCTGTGAAAATGTTCACAGCAAGAAGCAGTAGCTGCCCTTAACAGCTCACACTAGACACATCACGGATGAGGGGCAGGCAGGGAAGCAGCTCCGCTCTTTTGATTTGGAGATGCATTGGTGGTATCATGTGCTAGAAACAGATAAATGTGTGTAGTTGCAACAGTTGGCACCCATGAACTTTGGCAGCACAGGGCTCTTTATTGTCCCCAGTGACTGGTGACATGTCCTGCCATTTGCAGGGCAGCACCTCCATTCACTGCCCCACTGTGGCCAGTTCGCATGCAGAGCTTTGGCCCTGAGTGATGAGCTGCTTCTTCTCCATCTCATGCTGTGAAGTAATTACTGTTCTCACTGATGCCTGTGGAAAGAATACAGAGAGGATTTGCAATCCCCTCAACCTCCAGGGCTTCTACTTATTCAAGGTATTCATAAATGCTTGTCCACTCTGAATACATGTAAATATTTGTGGATGTCCTGGACGAGCTAGAGATCCTTATGGATCCAGGGTATCCAGAAACACTTGCATGGACATATTCAGAGCTCTGACTGTGAGCTGAAGAGCTTTGGATCTTATCCACGAGACCATCAGCTGGATTCAGGTTAGTTCTTTAGACTCTGGCAGATGGCAGCTTGGCAGGCTCAGGGCAGAGGTCACAAGAGCAACACCCACCCGGCTGCTGGATCACAGCAGGTCAGGCACGAGCAAAGAGCCCACGTGAACACTTACACCCAGGTCAGGTGTGAGCAAAGAGCCCACGTAAATACTTTCACCCAGCCCTCCACTATCCACGTGCAAAGGTGCAACAGCCCTTTTTACCAGCTCTGGCTCTGGCATTTTTTAATTTGAGGGTAAAACTCAGGCAGAGAGCAAAACTCACACTGAGAGTTGCCATTTCGGCTACGCCCCAGCAGTGTCTCATGGATCAGGGTCTGTGTCCACAGCTCTGTGTGAGCCACACACAGATTCAAATATGAGGCTGATGGCAACAATTTGCATGGAGAGATGTCACGATGCTTACAAAGTAATAGAGCTATGAGTCATCCCTGATGCAGCCCTGATTATTTGCATTGCTGGTGTATACATAATGGTACCTTCATACAGAAATACAATGTGGCCTTGCTAGAGGTACCTAAGAAAAATCTAAAAAGCATTCAAAAGATTTCTTGGCATCAAATTTTCCACTAAAACGCTTCCCTTGTCCTATTTGTCAGAGAAGAAAAAAAAAGTCTTTATTTTTTTTACTACTCCTCTTCAAAAATCTTTCAGATACTCTCTGAGCTGCAGTTGTTCTGGGGATATGTTCCAGGTAAACCTGGACCAGAAAGTCTCTGTGGACAAGCAGGAGGTGGGTCTTGTCTGTGAGTCTTCAGGCCAAGTCACAACCTCCAGGTCTAAATGGTTCAGGCACACAGAGACAGGTAATGTGCACTCTGAGAGGTGGCAGAACGGCCTTACCCTGCAGCAGCAGGAATCAAACTGATTTCACTGGCGATAGAGAGCTTTATTGTTTCACAGACCAGGGTATTTATGGTGCTGCCCACAGCTGGAATCTGACTCAGAGAAATAAGAGCAGTGTGAAATCCCTGCCATTGGCACAGCTGCTTTTGGGGATGTGAGTTATTGTAAGTGCAGAGGCTTTGCGGGGGACCTGCAGGTGTTCTGTTATTGGCCACACCGTACAGAGTTCCCTCTTTCCATCTAAATTTGCAGCCTGAAAAACCTCTCACTGTCAGAAATCATTCCCCCTTCTCCCTCGAAAACATTTTTCTGGTGGAAGTGAGACACCAGCAGCTTTTAAACTGTAACTGCTCATTGTGCCTCGTGAATATGAGAGTGCTACACACAACGTGTGACTTCCACGGAGCTGCAAAAAAAAGCCCCATGTTCCTGTTTTAATGGGAGGTTCTGATTCTACTCCCACGGTCTGAAACTGGGGTTCATGGAGTTTGTCCTTCTGTAATCCTGTGTTCCTTCTTGTACCAAATGGTTACTGCACACAGGGTGGCCAAGGCAACTCTCTTCAGCAAAGCTCTCCTGTTTAATATGAAACTTTATATTATCCTTTCAACCTCTAGTGAAAAGAAACATGACTCTCAGCAGTGGGTAGGCTTCACTAGTTACTCCCCTTACATACCTTTCGTTCTTTTAAAAATAACTTTATTTTTTTTAATGGAGAGTCACATTATGATACCACTCCTCGTGTCAGATAAGGCACTGGAGATGTGCACAGTCTGCATCAAAATGCAGAAAGATGCTCTCGTGTAAGACTGGGAGCATAAGCAAATGAGAGGAAACATTCACAACAAAAGCAAATTAATTGCACAGCAAATCTCTTCTTACGTGCTGTTAAAGGGATGACACTGCTACAGTGAACTGCTCTGTACTATAAACATTCCAGAGCCTGCCAGGGGACCAGCAACAGCCCTGCTGCCACTGCCCAGAGCTCAGCAAAACCTCTCTGAGCTGCCACATTGGTGCCTCCAAGTGCTTCCCTTCAGCCATCAGCCCTGGACCAAGAGCACTCTGGCATTACATGTTGTAGAGCTTTTAAATTATAAGGAATTTTTTCAAACTGTGAAAACTGCTGGTTTATAACACTTAAAAACAGAGACAGAGAAGTCAGTCCCAAATCCCTGGCAGGCCAGAGCCAGGTGGGATTGCAGGGAAGCCAAGCAGTGCTGAAGCTCCTGGGGTTTGAAGCAGTGCCAGGAGGTGGGAGGGGTGAGAGGTGAACACACACCAGCTCCATCACTACTGACCACGGGGGCGAAGTGTGCCATGAAAAGGGAAGGCATGAGCAGTTCCTGGCCCAGACATGAGTGCCTAAGGGTGGGAGCAGAAGTAGAATTGCAAAAAGCTGAGTCAAAATTTTACCTTCTGAAGTTACTCACTTCCTCATTTAGAAAAAGGACTTGTTCTGCCTCTAAAAAGAAGCCTGGGCTGTATCACTGCCTCTGCACCCTGACTTCCCCCAAATCTGGAGGTATGTACTGTGTGTCTATTGCAATTATCTCTTTTCCACTTGCAAAAAAGAGCAGTGTGTGTGTGTGGGGGGGTGAATCTATACCCCATTTTAGTTTGCAGCCAAAACCCTGATCTCACTCACACTCTTTTGACCTCAGACCAAGTTTCATGCATCTCTTTTCCTTTCTTAGATGGTTAATACTCTTAAAAGAAGAAACAGATGGCACCCATTTGCAGATGTCAAATGCTTGCCTCACATGGCATCTTTACTATTGGATTTCCACCAGAGGCTCATGGCCCAGATAGTTAGATTTCAATCATAATCACCAGCTTTAAATCTCAAGCAAACATTCACTGACTGGGTCGAGCCACAATTACACTTACATCTCTCTCAGTGCTTCTGATTCTTTTTTAAATTGATTACAGATTGGAGTACAGGAAAGGGATTAGAGATGCTTAGAGATCAGGAAGAAGAATATTAGAAGTGGATGTTAAATAAGAGATGGAAAAACAATAAAAAATGCAACTCCTGGGAGGGGAAGGGTGACCTAAGAGCAGAACTAAAAGAGGAGAAGACCCACATGCCTCGGTACATGTGAAGCTAATTTGGGAGCGATGCTGTGTGTGTTTGTGATGAATACTCTGATTTATACTCCCCTACCCTTCTGCACAAACTTTCCCACGTGAGCATCCCGAGTGGAGCAGACAGGCGTGACCCTTTGTGTCACAGAATGAAGCAGCTGTGAAGCTGTGAGGTTTGCCACTGCTCTCCCTAGAGCAAGGCTCTCGGGGCTTTTCTTTCTTTGTTTCTTTTCCTGTTTTTGAACACAGGTTTCTGAGCTTCCTGGCTGAGCAACTGAGAGCACACAGAACGTGCTGTTCCCTCTGGGAGAGCATGAGATGTTCAGCATGGGATGTCCTTGTCTCTGCCTGCAGCTGCTCTGTGCTAAGAACGAAGACACCTGGACCTGTTGAGCCCCGTGGCAGTTTTGTAGCACATTTACAACGTGGCACATCTCCAAGAATAATACTCTGTAAGGTGTGAAAGCAGCCTCCTCCCTCTATGAGGGATTAATTCTGGAAACTAAAGAGGGACACTTAACGACAGTGCTGACACTGCCAGGTGTTTCAGACACATTCAGCCAAAGTGCTTATTCCACGGGACCAAAGTGCCTCATCTACCCACCTTCATCCCACAGCAGCTTCTAAAGCACAGGAAGGCATTAGCAAATCCCCAGCTGAGTAAAGTCCAGGGTACAGGGAAAATATGGCAAAAGTCAAGTTTAACATCATACATGAGGTGACTGCTTGTCACAGGCACAGATCTGGTCCCATTTGCTCCACCAGATACACTCGTTTTGTCTGTGTTCAGTGCCTGAGCTGTGCTGAGCTGCAAGCTGTGCAGATGAACCACACTGAAGCACAGTGTCAGCAAGGGGCCTCCCCAGGCTCATTCAGTTCCTCCACAGGCTCAGGAGCACCACTTTTCTGTCCCTCTGCCCTCATCAGGTGGTGCTTGTTGGGGACAAACTGAGCTGCAAAAGCATGAGAGCAGTGAAGAGTCCTCAGGTTCATCAGCTGCCACCAACTGCTGTCAGCAACACAGAGCCAAAGGAATGGGAAGGTACAGAACCCCTCCTGGGATCCCTGCATGTTCATCTGGGGTAACTTCTTCTCATTTGGGGACATTCATAATAATCCCCCCAAACACAGGTGATTTCATGTCTCCCCTGCTCGCAGGTGTTCTGATTCTCTATCTGCTTTTCGTCTTGGTGGCATTTGCTTGGTTTCCCTGTCGCTTGCACACTGTGCTTGGTATCAAGTCTGGATACAAACTCATCAGCTCAGTTTCCATCGCCTTCTCCATCTTCCCTGCAGGCTCTGCTTCTTGTTTCCTCTCTTCTTGCACAAACTGCCTCCCCACCCTGGTTTCTGCTGCTCTCACAACCCCTGTGTCTAGCACACCTTAACCACAGCTGACCAATTTCTGCACCTGTGGAAATGATGGCAAAGAAGTTGACAGCACATGAGCTCAGCATTAACTCTCCACCTCAGTGTGGAGGTGCCTGCAGAAGTTGCTGGTGTGAAAAGCAAAGAGAGGTGAGTATTGACCCATGAGTCACACCATGACAACAGGTCGATATTCTGCCCTTGTCCCCGTGCAGTGAGTGCTGGGTGTTCTGATCATCTGATCATCTCTGCCAGGGCCTCCTCACCCTCACAGGAAAGAAGTTCTGCCAAATATCCAGTCTAACCCTGCTCTCTCTCTGTTTGAAGCCATCGCCCCTTACCCTGTCACTACATGCCCTGTCCAAAGTCTCTTTCCAGCCCCTTTAGGTGCTGGAAGGGGCTCTAAAGTCTCCCCAGAGGTTTCTGTTCTCGACTAATAACCCCAATTCTCTCAGCCTTCCCTCACAGCAGAGGTGCCCCAGCCCTCTGAGCATCTTCGTAGCCTCCCCTGGACTCCAACAGGTCCATGTCCATGAGGACACCAGAGCTCCATCCTGCAGCAGGGTGAGGAGAGCATTTAGAAAAATGTTACCTCTGGCCCCAGCAGCAGTTTTAGGTGCTGATTAAGCCCCTGAAATTCCCAGCATTAATTTCATTGTGGAGATTGTATCTCTGGTTTCTGTCAGTTCAAACAGGCATCTAAGACAGGTCCCCAAAAAGCCAGTCTATTAGTGGTGTTAATTTAATGAACCTGCAGCAGATACAAAAGCTGTGACCTGACCAAATCACTTTTAAATTAATGCTGGTATCTGTAGAAATAAATGGGGTTGGAACCTTGGTGGAACATGTGTTTGCAAAGCACCCCTAGATGAGCCATGGCAGATGTACTTTTGCCATAGCTCCATCTACATCAGGAATAAACTGAAACCTTGGTTTCCAGTCTCACTGGCAGAAACTAAAATCAAAAAATGGTTTTGCTTTTAAAGCAGCTATATTCTCAAGGCAATGGGTCTGACCCATCCTCCCACCAACTTTCTCCTACGTGCCCCTGTTAGTGCCCCACGTTGCCCTGTGCCTGTTTTGCAAGCCTGAGGATGGCTACCAAAATCCACACTGCTGGCTACTGCAGAGGTGCACCAGAACTGTGTAATACATCCAAGTGCTAGGGAAAAAAATAATCATGGAACACTTTATGGAACAACTTACATGTTGTAACAAGTTAACATGCTTTTCAAAGGAAACCAGTGGTGGTCACCATACTATGAGCTGTGATTTTGCCTTTTTTGAGCCTGGTAACAATTACTTTTCTTTCCCATCACTGTCTTTTTTCCTGTGTTGAAAATTGGTGATTTTATAAGGTGTTTAGGGGGGCTTGTGATCCATCAGCCCTTCAGAGGTACAACCACCCCTGCCCACTGTACTTACAATCTTTAAAGGAGAACATCAAGGGGAGGAAAAAAGGAATAATCCTGGTGTGGGTTATACCTGCACAAAATGGAAGGCTGAAGGAGCAGCGTGAAGACCACAAAGAGCAACGAAAGGGTGGGTGTGATGTCTGCACATCCTCTGGGAAGCAGGTGCTTCACTCTGCTGTAGTCCAGATGCCAATAAATCTTCCAACCTGATGAAGCAAGATGTGCCTTGAAGCAAAATGCTGCTTAATACAAGATTGCTGCCACACCAGTGAAATTAAAATTGTCAGGACACACACATCTCATGATTTTGGAGACCTTAGTTCCCAGCTGAACTCACCCACAGGCAAATTAAGAAAGAGCAGTGAGGTGAATAATGGTTTTCAAGGTGTAGCTTGAAATTCCCCTCCCCTACCACACTTGGTCCCACCAGTCATTTCACATGGGACAAAACTGGAATTACCCTGAATGCAGACTAATGCTCTTCTTCATCTGTGTCATTTTGGTCACTGCCAAGGCTATCTCAATTTTTATTTAGCACACCAAAATATACTATTTTGGTATATAGACTGATTTTCCGCCCTCTCTTCCTACCCAGTTTGAGAGCTTAGTTGGGATTTCAGTTATGCACACAAGGACAGCTGACCCTTAGCACCATTACCTTGAACAGGGGCTACTCTTGGTAGCACTCAGCTGTGCAGCTTTCCCTTTCCACCCACATCCAGTGGGGGTCAGTGGTGTCCTTGGGCATCCCTCTTTGAAAGTGCTGAGCCCTGGAAAGCCTCAGCACTTCCCAGTTCTCTTTTTTTCTAACTTGAAGCGTCTCTTCTGAAGTGGGGGCAAAAATGAAAGAAGAAGAAACAAAAAAAGACTGATTCAGGTTTTGGCAGCTCTCCTGTCACAGAAGAACATTCCACACTTGCACATGAAAGGGAATTTTTAGCAAACCAGAGCAAAGAGTCAAAATAACAAACACAGACGCTTACCAAAAGAATTGCCACACTCAGTGTTTTTTCTGACTGCTGCTACTGGCTCAGCAAGAGGCTGGGCCGTTGCCTAATCTTGAGCTCAGAAAAAGACAGTCCATCTTTAAGTTTACAGTGATATTGGCCCAACTACAGAGGATGGGATTTCCCTTAAGCCTTTGCCCGAGGCCTAATGGCGACTCCAAAAATAACAAGCAGCCCTGAGGCTGGAAATTTTGGTTCAGAGAGAGATCTCGTTCCTGTTCCGTAAATGATACACAAATATTCGTCTGAGTGGATGGAAAATGCTTAAAAAGCTACATAACGCAGTGAACAGGACCAATCCTGAAATGGGAATAATTGACTTAATTCCCTGCAGCACTGCTGTCTCTCCCAGCCATCTGGTAGCTGGGATGCCAGTGATAATCTGCGGAGCAGCTTGGGCGAGGGAACCTTCGGAAAGCAGAGATCACAAAGAGTTCACTCATTTCTCTACAGCAGAAAAGGAAGTGGGTGGGGAAAAGGGATGAAAGGATAAAACACCCAGCTCGCAGTCTGCTGGCTTCAGGATGAAAGCTTTGCTCTGAAAAAGCCCTGGTAATTCCATACTTCCTCAAGGAGAAGTGGTGTCTAAGAGGTGGAGTGAGCAGCAGTCGGAGATGTTCTGTGAGCCCAATTATCTTCATTATGTGGTAGATGGTAATTGTAGTGTCCAAGAGGTCTCCTCTAGGCCTGGGGATTTTCCAAGAAGCCTGGTCAGGATGTTAAGGATAGTTTTTAACAGTGGCTGACTGAACACTGCAAGAAAAGCACCAGAGGTGGCTTTCCCATTCATTCAGGGAGTGATTGGCACCCAAACTCTGCCCCTGGGATTTCACCATGGTCTGAGCTTCTCAGTCTCAGTGAAAGCTGTAGCAGTGTTACCTTTTGTCCTTCAGGTTTTGGGGTTTCACATCATTTGGTATCTCTTTGTAGACTAAGGGGCATCAAGCTTGTCCTCTACACTCTTCACCGTCAGATCCATCTCTGTGGCACTTCAGGCATGCAAAAAGGACGTGTTTATGTCGTGTGTGCTGTGGATGTGAAAGAATGTCTAAACCTAGCATTCAAACTGTGGAAAAACTGTGAAATCAGTAAATACAGAACAGGAACTGAGAAAAATTTATGTTCAGCTGTTTCCCTACTGTAACTTGGAAAAAGAATCTGAATGTTTTTAACTTGCCTCCAAGTTAGTATGCTTTTTGTAATTCTGGGAGAGCTTTGGTGCTGGGATTGTTAGCATAACTTGTTCAAATATTCCAAGTTCCCACCTCCTCTTACTCATGACATGGAAAAACACTCGAAATCTATCTAATCAAATGCTCACAAGCAGCCATATCCCACGGGCAGCTCAGATAGGCCTGATGAAAACCACATTTGCTGACAGCTTTAGCTCAGCTCCTGCCAGCTGAACTGCAGCCTGGCACATCATCCCGTCGAAGCCCCGCTGACCACCACGATGTCCCCCGGGATGAGGGGTCTGGCCAGGCAGCACAGCTCACAGACAATCCTGGGATTCCTTTGGGGAAACATGCACTGAGAGGCTGCTGCAGCCGTGCTCTGGTGCGGAAACAAACTGCCAGATTCCGCTTGAAATGTAGATGGCAAAGCAAACAAAGAGCAGGGGGTAACGCTCCCCCTGCCCTGCACTGCTTTTCTCAGCCAACCTTTCTTGCTGGTTTGCGGATTTTTCTGTGAAGTGAAACAGGATTTACAGAGCCCGAGAGTAACGCGGGGATGCAGGCAGGTAACGGTGCGGATTTTTAGGTTGGTCACCCCTGGCAAAGCCGAGGCAAGAGGTCTGTGCGGCAGAAAGCAGTGTGAGAGCCGCGGCACTCAGCATGCCGGGCACCGCTCCCCTCGCACAGCTCTGCCTGGGGTCATTCAATGAGCGCAGCCGGGGCCGTGGGGGAAGGGACAATCTTTGGCCCCTCTCGGCAGTTTTGTAGCTCGGGAGCCTTGTGTGCCCTGCAGTGCCAGCTTTCAAAGCCGTTCTGACCGGTTTTCTTCCGCAGGGTGATGCCCTCAGGTTTCGATGGGAGCAACGCCAGCTGCCCTTAGTGTCAAACAGAGCCACCCTGGCACTTCGGCACAGTCCTTCAGCTTAGCTGCACTCACTGCTGGCAGAAGGGTCGCCAAGTCCCTCGCCTTTCGCAGGACTCTTCCTCCAAGCCCAGTACCGCGTTATTCTGCCAAGAGCCGGGAGAGGGTGCTGTTAAATTTGGCGATCGTTCCATTGCTCTCCATGTGCTGCCTTTCCCTGTTTGTTCCCCCACCCTCCCCAGCCCCTCCGAACCGGGCGCTTTTTAACTCCTGGCTGCAGCGGATTTGCACTTTGATCAGCCAAGATATAATAGCCCTGATGAAAAGCATCTTTCACTTCATTATAGTCAAGCTCCTAAACTGGAGGGACCGGAATTGGGGCTGCAGCTGCTGAGCACTTGTGTGGCAGCACAGTAAAGTCACACAGATCTTTGGGGTAAAGGATGCCCCAGAGCTCGCTTTCAGCTGGGGCTCTGCCAAAAGGGCCCTTAAAGCCCTCGGCCATGAGCTGTGTGGGATGTAAAACAAGAGGAACTGCCTCCGGGACAGGGAAATTATCACTGTCACGTAAACAACCCTTTTGTTTTGTCAGGAGCAGACATTTGTTACAACTGGGTGACTTTGTAAGACTTTCTACCCTGTTTTAGGATTAAAATAGTAATAAACAATTTATAAAAGGGAGAATATATTGCTTTTCAGCTTTGAACCAGCCATGGAACCATAGGACCTCTCTGCATCATAGACCTAGTTAGTTTTTAACTCAGATGCAAATGCTACCCATTTAAAATAAGTGAATTTTCAGTAAAATACGAGCACCTTCCAAACTGTTAGCCAAACCTGAACATTCAAGTATTTTTCTCTCCCTCCCTCCCTCTGATTTTTCAACCCCTCCTTCTCCACATCAAGGGTTTTGCAAGTGCCATGGAAGAAACGCAGCAGGAACAAAGAAATGGGAGATGCAGAAGGTACAAGAAGCATCTTTCACTGCTCAAGGGACTTTCTGCAACTTGCTCAGGCAAGGGCTGGCTCAGAAGTGAGCCCCACTGTGTCATCCCTTCTTCCAGGAGAAAAACACACCAGGACAGGCTGTGAACAACTGTGCTAACAGGGGCTGAGAGCAGAAAACGGGATAACTATGGGATATGAAGTGATCTTGGCCCAAACTGTGTTCAAAACACAAACCAGCTGTCAGCACACGGATATGGTGTATTGGTAGAGTATTTTAATTTTTTTTAGCTGAGAAACACAAAACAAGGTAGAGTTCAAGGCATGCAATCAGGCACTAAACTTCTCCAGCTTGTTTTTTTGTGCTCATACCTTCAGTGTAAATTCTATGAAGAGCAGCAGATCCTATCTTTAATCTCTACACAAAGCAACTGAGCACCCACTTACAGCCTGAGGTTTTATGCAACGCTTACAGTTGTTCCTGGAAAGCAGGATTTACTTGTAGGGAAGCAGTTCTTTTTCTATCTGTGTGTTTTGTTCTATGCCACAAGGAGCAAATGTCATCTATTTCCCAAAGTAAGTTTGGCCAGTGGCAAAATCAACAGAAGTAAAATAACTTTCTCCACACAGATACAAGTTGCAATTACAGATGTCTGCTTGCTAGGTTTTAATTTGATTACTGTTTACTGAAAAATACAGATAATCTAATGAATAGGAAAAGGTCTTTGATTTCTGTACCTTGCAAGTCTACTTCTTGGTGTTCTAAAAAATAAAAAATAAAACAAAACCAGACACCATAAACAAGCCAGGCAATGGGGCAATCCACTTTTTACCTCTGAGGTAAAAGAGCAATTCAAAGATTAAGGATTTTGTGGATTTAGGCATATTAGAATCATAACAGGTATTGAAATAAACATCACAGGTATCAAGATGCTGCTAAAAAATACATTTCCATTTGAGTAACTTTAGTCTGGCAATAGTGTAAAGCACCTTGGTGTCTACTCATATGGGGCACTTGCTTTTAACAAGCAAAGACAGTACCTGGTAGGCAGCACAGTGCCAAGGAAAATGTTGTTTATAAGCAGCTACAAACAAATATTTTCTCTCTTTAGTGCCCTACCTTTGTTCATACAGCTCCTGGTTTTATTCTTCGTATTTATTTTAAGACATGATCGTCAAAGACTCTTCCTCCCTTGCTCATGCATTTTTAAAATCAATATGATTAAAAATGAATCTGCTGTGCATCCATGTGATGAATGTGGTAAGAGCTCATTCTGCATTTTTCCCATGAAGATCCCCATCCTGAAGTTTTCAATATCACTAAAACTTCTGCAGCAAATACTGGGAAGAGACAAATCCCAACTCCTAAACTGGTTAAACTGCTCATCTCAAGGAACTCAATGCTATCAGAAGTTCCATCCTGTGCTGTGGCAGGGACTAAGAGATCGTTATTACAGTGGATTTTCAGAAGAGGTAATCCTGAAATTACAAAGAGTTGGCAAGTCCAGAACTGGATGGTCCCATTTCCTAGGACCTCTCAGAAAAAAAAAATAAAAAAATAGCTTCATGCACGTGTTTAATTCATCCCTGTTTGACAAAACACTGAAATACAGCTTAAACATGAGGTCAAATGCCACAGAAAGTGCCTGAAGAAATATGACATCACCATCAAATCTTTTGAGAGCGTAAAAGGAAAAATAACTCAGTGCATAAGAATTACACCTTACAACAAGCATATGGAGGCACTGACCTCTCCTTTGATTTTCTACAAATGAGCAGGGCATGTAGCTCTGGGGGAAGAATCAGAACTTCCATTCTCACTTGTACATCTAACTAGGGAAAAGCCCATGGAAACAACTTTCTTTGTACATCACCCGAAAGAGTGGCTCAGAGTTAAAGAGGAATAATCAAGTCTAGAAAGTGAGTTTGCATTCTCAATAATGGCAGCCTAGATTTAGCTTAGAACACTGATGGTGACAGTAACATGCAAAACGTATCTGGCCTTTCTGACAAAAAAAGAAGTATAAAATGTTCAAAAGCTAACTGTGCATTGAGATTAGCCAGCACATAAACAAAAGTTCAAGACAAGCAGTGCAAAAAAATTGAAAAAGTAAATAATGAGAGAATGTGAAACAGCTAAACTACAAACTGAGAGGCTTGTAAATAGAGTGAGTAGTTAATACACTTTCCCAACTTAAACTGCAATTCAATAACACTGAAAATGAAATAATAAAAAAAAAAATATTTGAACACCTGAAAAACTGTGCCCCAAGATGTGCTTTGCAGCTCTGACACATTCCCAGGGCAACATGGGAGCTCATGGGGAGTGTCTTCCTTCACCCTCCCCAACATTTCATCTTTCATGGCACCAGGCAGAAATAAATTCCCCTTCCTCTCAAGCTTGGTGTGAGAATGGCTGAACCCCAATGCCAACCCCCTGTTCCACTGCAGCTCCCCAAAAAGTCACAATTACGGAAAAAAAAAAACCTGGAATACTTTTCTGGAGCAAACAAAACAAGGCAGGGTGACTTTAGTAGAGAGATTTTAGTAAAACAAAACCAGATTTGGTCTGTTGGTCCTTTGCCAAAGTGCTCTTGCTGCAAAGAGCAGGATTGTCCTGGAGACCTGGGAGAGACCAGATGCTTCCCAACACTGATGTTCCACCGACATGCAGGACATGCCCCAGGTAAGGTTTGCTGGAATCAGTGTGCCCTAGTGGGATATTTACTGTCACGTTTCCTAATGGCAGTCAGAAGTTCTGCAGAGACTCTGTCTATTTTAGGGCTTCTGTTCCCAAGGGAATAAAGATTATTCCACCTTCTGAAGAAAGTGATTGTCTACTGCCAAAAAAAGGAAAAAAAAAGGAAAAAAGAAAAAGGGGGGAAAATTAGGAAATACAGAAATTAAAATCACAACTAGAGAAGTATTTTGATTGAATAACGAAGGCAAAGCTAAACAGGTATCACCATGAAAGAAAGTTACATAGGAAGGGATTGGATTCTACTGAACTTAAACCTGAAAGATGCTGTCCCTTGGTGATTAGATTTGCTGTGAATGACTCATCCACAAAGTAATGTGAAATGCACTCCTCAATAGCTTCTCCCAGCAGTTCAGGGTGTAAAAGCTAGTCACAAATAAAAATTGCAAGGCAAAAACAAAACAACAACCACCCTGTCTCCCATTTCTCATCATCATTGGTGACAAAAGAAAACACAAGAATTGAAAGCATTTTAACCTGTGAAATATGGATGGCAAGTCATGCTCTGGAGGAACACCTCAGCCTTTTATCCAGGAAACA